AAAAATCAGGAAATACACCGACCTATCAGAAGAAGTTAAAATGATGTGGAAAATGGAAAAAGTTCTCATCCTACCAATAATCGTATCAGTCACAGGCCTTATACCACCAGAACTATACACGGAATTCAAGAAACATAATTTACCTATCCAAGTTATAATAGACATGCAAAAATCAACAATATTAGAAACATGTCGGATAGTAAGGAAAGTAATGCATTGAACAAGTCCACAAGTAATAAGTTTTGCGAAAGCCCTTATTACTTTATCCACGACAAGTGAGGAAAGTAGAAATAATAATTATAATAATAATAGAGTTTATTGTCCTACACACTTTTCAATCCAATTATAGGACAAAGGTAGTGTTGAACTACAAATTTAACTTCTGACATATACTGTATACATGTATGACTCTGTTTTTTTTTTATCTTTGTCGTTGCTCGTTAAAATGTTATACTATTCAAGTTAATTATTATTGTAACCTTTGTATTAGTATAATATACATTTTGTGTACCAGTTTACCATTATTGGCCTCAATAGGTTATGGGCCCAGGCCGTTAATCTGCGTAGAATTCGTTTCTTTTTTTTAACAAAAAGAGTGAGGTTAGTTTTTTCTCGTGGTCGCGCCGCGTTTAAAGAAAAAAAACCGTACCTTTTGTTCCCAACAAAAAAAAGACAATGGATTTTAAAGCACAAGTGGATAAGCTGGTTGACGCCTCAAATTGGGCCTCTTGGAAGCGGCAAGTGGAACTGCTGTTGAAACACAATGGAGTGTTGGAGGTTGTGAAAGGGTTACGTAAAAAGCCTGTTGCTTTATCTGTCGGTGCTTCGGAGGCGGAGAAAACGGAATATACAACAAAGTTGAACGAGTTCGAAAAAGCAGATGCGTTGGCGCAATTAATCTTAATAAGTAGTTTGAATCCCACTAATATTAAGGTAACTGCAACTTGTGAGACAGCTGTTGAAATTTGGACAAAATTAGTATCAGTATACGAGCAAAGTTCCGAGCAGAAAATGGATCGCCTGATGGAAGAGTTCTTCACTTTAAAGAAGAAGCCAGAGGAAGACATCGTAACTCACATATCCCATCTTGAAAGAAATTTCACTGAGCTCAACGAAGTATTGAAGCGGCTTATGCAAACAGAGCTTCCCGAGTTGGTACTGCAGAGTAGAATCATGTCGACTCTTCCTACGGAATACTTTGAGTTTAAAAGTGTGTGGGAAAGCATGCCGGTTAACGAACGCACTATCAATAAGTTAACGGAGAGGCTAAGACTGATCGAAATGCGTTTGCCTGCAACAGAACCTGAGTCAACAGTGTTCGTAGCAAGCAAGAGCAAGAAAGCCCTGGCAAAGAATCGACCGAATGAAAAGAAGGACCTAAAGTGCTTCAGGTGCCATGAAGTCGGACACTTTTCGAGTAAGTGCCTCAGAAAATCGAATCGGAGCTCAAAAAGTGGCAGCTCAACGACCGAGGGTGAGGCATTTATGTGTAGCGGATTTGAAACCGAGGAAGGCCATTGGATTGTCGATTCGGGTGCTTCGGCACATATAACATACAACAGAAATTGGTTTGTGGAGTATACCAGGTTCGAAATACCGAAACCCATTAAGGTAGGCAACAATACTTACATGCATGCTTACGGGGAAGGTGCCATAAATAAATGTTAAGATGGTGACCGATGGAATTTGGGAAGTTAACCACTTGTCAAATGTATGGTACGTTCCAAAGGCTGGACAGAACCTATTTTCTGTGTGTCAGACTGTAGATAAAGGTTTTTCTTTTAGTGCAAATCAATCTGGTTGCATTTTCAGTAAGAATATGGCCGAGTAAGGTTGAGCGGAACGAAATCTGAAAAGGGCCTGTATATTCTAAACATGGAAGTCATCATTCCAGAGAAATCTGCCGTTGCGTTTTTAACCACAGAAGAAGATACCTTGCAACTTTGGCACGAACGGCTTTGCCATCAAAATAAAAGACATGTTAAAACGCTCTTAAAACTAAGAGATGTCGATATCCGTTCGAAGAAAGAATTTTGCACCGGTTGTGCATATGGAAAGCAGCATCGAAGACCATTTGGTACGCGCCATTGTAAAGCAACCCAACCAGGTGAACGAATTCATACAGATCTATGCGGACCAATGCAAGAAGTATCCATTGGAGGTGCACGTTATTTTCTTTGCTACAAAGACGAATTTTCGGGTTATCGACGTGTGTTTTTTATTAAATCAAAAACTGAGGTGGTTGCCTGTTTAAAACAATATTTAAACGAATGTCGGGGAACAATATAAAAGAAATATTGTGTGACGGTGGAGTTTAATAATAAGGAATTCAAGTCGGTGCTTGATTCGAAAGGTATTAATTTACGGACAATTATGCCTTATACGCCGGAACAAAACGGTGTCGCGGAACGGGAAAATCGGACGCTCGTTGAAAGTGCACGATCGATGATACATTCCAAGGACCTGCCAGTGAGATTATGGGCAGAAGCAGTGAATACAGCAGCTCACGTCCTCAACAGAACTGGACCCACCAGTATGAACGACAAAAGCCCAATTCAACTGTGAAGAAGAGGTCAGCAACCGCAACCTGAACCCACCAGTATGAACGACAAAAGCCCAATTCAACTGTGAAGAAGAGGTCAGCAACCGCAACCTGAAATTAAGCACTTTAAAGTTTTTGGCACTGAATGCTTTGTGCATATACCCAGTCAAAAACGTCAAAAATGGGATCGAAAAAGTGTTCTGGGTGCCTTCGTTGGGTATTGTGACGAAAAGGATGGTTTTCGTGTATGGGTACGTTCGAGTAATGTAGTCATAAAAAGTAGAGACGTTGTCTTTAAGGACGAGTAAGTTGTTTTAGGAAAACCGCCTACAATACTTCAGGAGGAAGAGCACCAGGATGGAAATTTGGAAACTGCATTAAAAATCAGAGATGAATCGGAGCTGGCTACAACAACCCACGCAGACGCTGGATCTGAAGAGGAAGCAGTGGTCTTAGAGCAACCTCGGGTGGACCAACGGGAACGTCGGATGCCAAGGTACTTAAATGATTACGTTTTGATGGCAGAAACCACAGAAGATGCGCCGCAGTCGTACGCAGAGGCGATGAGATCTTCAAATTCTGAGGAGTGGACAAAGGCCATGGCAGAGGAAATTCAAGCCCTAAACAAAAACCAAGTGTGGACACTGCAGGTATTACCTGAAGGCAAGAAGGCAATACAGAGCAGATGGGTATACAAAATCAAGACTAAAACGGGTGACACAATTGAGCGTTTCAAGGCCAGATTAGTAGCGAAAGGGTGCTCTCAAAAGCATGGGATTGATATTCAAGAAACTTTTAGTCCGGTTGCGAGGTACGAAACAATAAGGACCGTGCTCGGTGTGGCAGCAGCAGAAAAACTTCATCTAACCCAGTTTGATGTAAGTACCACGTTTCTCTACGGGGATTTGGAGGAAGAAATATTCTTGAGCCAACCGGAAGGTTTTCGAGACGCAACTAATCGGGTGTGTAAACTAAATAAAAGTTTGTATGGTTTAAAACAATCTCCACGATGCTGGAGCTGGAACCAAAAGCTGTTTAACTTTATGTGCGAACAAAATTTCTGTGTGAGCAGTGCCGACCCTTGTTTATTTTTACGAAATCATCCGAGTAAACTAATTGTGGTAGTTTACGTGGATGACGGGTTAATTGCAGGGACAGACAAAAATGAAATCAAATCATTTGTACAGCATCTCGCGATGAAATTTGAAATAACGGTCGTATCGGCAGAGCGTTTTCTTGGTATTGAAATTAAATGTCTGAGTGACGGTTCGATTTTTATTCACCAAGCTTCTTACGTTAAGCGAGTATTGAAGCAGTTCAAAATGAGTGACTGTAATTGTGTCAGTACCCCTTTCGAACAATACGGTGGTGAGCAAATTGAATTAAGTAAAACCATTCCCTTCCGAGAAGCGGTAGGCAGTTTAATGTTTTTAGCAATAACGACTCGTCCAGACATTTCATACGCGATAAGTGTCATTTCACAGAAACTGTGTGCTCCTACAGTAGCCGACTGGCAGTCCGTGAAAAGAATTCTACGTTATCTAAAGGGAACTGTTGATTTAGGCTTATTTTATAAATCGGGCCGTGGAACAATGATCGTGTATAGTGACGCGGACTTTGCACGGAGATCAACAACGGGTATCGTTTGTAAGTTCGGGAGTGCTAGTGGTGACGTGGGTAAGTCAGAAGCAAAAATGTGTGGTGCTCTCAACTACCGAGGCTGAATATGTGGCTGCCTGTGAGGCTACAAAAGAATTAATTTGGTTAAACAAATTGTTAACCGAATTAACCAAGTTAGGGACTGATGTGCCTACTTTATATGTGGACAACCTAAGCGCCATAAAACTTGCTAAAAATCCCGAGTTCCACAAACGGTCTAAACATATCGAGGTTAGATTTCACTTTATCCGGGAAAACGGTATTCTAAAACTCGAGCATGTCTCTAGTGCTGAACAATTAGGTGATATCTTCACAAAACCTTTGGGACGTTTGCGGTTTGCATATCTCCGTAATAAACTAGGACTGATAGGACTAGAAGAATTAAATTGGAGAGGAAGTGTTGAACTACAAATTTAAATTCTGACATATACTGTATACCTACATGTATGACTGTGGTTTTTATCTTTGTCGTTGCTCGTTAAAATGTTATACGACTATTCAAGTTAATTATTATTGTAACCTTTGTATTAGTATAATATACATTTTGTGTACCAGTTTACCATTATTGGCCTCAATAGATAGCATTTTAACAGGTAGTGTACATAAATTTCAAATAAATCTATTATTAAAAAAAAATAATATAATAAGAAAATTCACCTATATTCATTTATTTATTTATTATCGCTCTTTTGTTCTGGGCCCTCAACAGGCTTGCGCCCAATTACAGAGTGACGCGCATAATGCTTTTTAGAGGTGCCTCTGCAGAAGGTCTTAAGTTGTTCTATACTACTCCGGTATTTACTTTACGAATTAGGAAAACTGCATCAGTGAATCCGATATAAAGTTATAAAGATGCAAAAAACAAAAAACAGAATGAAAACGCGAATTAAATTAAAATATTCATCCCTTATATAACTAAGAATGCATTTTAATCTACAAAAATGTATGTCACAGCCTACACATCTTAAATTAAAGTTGTTGCACATAACATGAATAGGTGCACGCTGCAAGATGTTACTGTGCGACATATTATGATGAAAGCAGAATGATGCATATCCAATAGCGTATATTTCTACGAATGCAGATAGCTAAATATGTTACATGTCACTATATACAATAAAACACATACTCCATCTAATTTTACACCGCACTGTTACTGTACTCCGTAATTAGCTGATTAATTGCCTCGGCCATTTTGATATTTCTCAAAATTGTTAAATGATTACCTTGAAATGTTTGAACGGAAATCGGATTTTCGCAAAGATCCTCGAGATCGTATCCTTGGACAGTTTCTCTTAAGGCTGACTGGGTCGGATTAATAAAGGTCACCGCCGATTTTATCTTTTCGAATTTGGGATCATACCAAACGCCGCTTTTAATGCGTTCATAATTCATTAAAAGCCTCTTTCGACGATTACTCACTTCATCTATACTGGCTGACGAAAGCTTTAGTAGTAAATCAATTCGGTTCTCTAAATCATCACACTGAAGGAGATTATTCTAGAAAACGAGTCAATCAGTGTTTAAATTAACCGTTCGGTCTATTACCACGACACTCATTAAATTGCCAAAAGGAATAGATGCCTTTGCTAAACCTGTAAGAACGTAACTCTGAAATAAGTTTTCGTCGTCCACGTTTGGCAAGTAGCCAGTTAGTACTCTTCTGGCGGTGTTGTGAGACCCATCGATCAGAAACAGCTGTCCTTTGTAGCCTTTTCTTTCTAGAAGAGAGACCATTTGTAACGCAACGGTGCAGCCGAATGAGTGCGCAATAACTGTAAATGGAGCTTGATGGGAAACGAAGTCCAAGATGACCTGTATAACAAGGCGTTAATCCTTATCAGTTATCTACCTATCTTCTTACGTGAAGCATGTTTTCTGACAGTCCCTCAATGGTGTGGGTATTGTCGTCGTATTGTAAGCAATATACGTGATAGCTTAAATTTGCAGCTAACGTTTCTAGCATTGCAGAAGTGCCGTTTATTCCAGGAAGCAGAAAGACGCTGGGTGCAGTCTCAGTCTCGCACACCAAGCTTTTCATTCTGACAATAGGAGGATTTTCATCTAGGTCTTCGTTTGGAGTAAAGAGATAGAAGTCTTCAAATGGACTTGCACTAACGGAGGAGGGTTCGTCCACCGACGATTTTTCATTTGTCATTTCTTGTAATTTGGCAAAAGTCAGTTGACGTAGATCTCGAGCGCTGATATTGATATTAAGTTCACGTTCTATGGTTTGCTTAATTTCCACAGCCATGATTGAGTCCATACCCATTTGTGAGAATGAGATATGAATCCCGACAAGTTTTAGATCCGTTACGCCTTAAGAAGGAAGTTACAAAGATGTTAGTACAGACTGTTTTACTAACCCATTATGTTCATGACAGTATCAACGATTTTCGGCGAACCAATGCCGTCTTCATTTTTTTGAGCGATTACAATACTCGAAACCACAGGCTCGTCTTGAGTCAAAAAATTGTCCAAAACTCCTAAGCAAGACGAAATCCTTTGTTGCAATGTTCCTCGAACTTCAATCTCTGGATTCTTATCAGCCACATATCCCACCTAATCGCTAACATGAGCCATAATTTTTGACACCACACCTACCTCTCCAACCGCTCCCCACTGGATCGCTAACCCTGGATACCCTTCTTTCTTTCTCTTCTCGCATATCCTCTCCATAATCGAATTTGCCATACCGTAATTAGTCTGCCCAGCGTTACCTCTTCCACACGCCACCGATGAAAACACAACAAACTGCCTAAAAAACAAATAAATAAATGCGTGTCCGACAGGGCCCCAACACGTGACCATAGTCAGCAAAACTTCAGTTAGTCGGCACTCGGCAAATCGCTATTCAAATTAAATTAATTAAATTAATATTGGAAAAAATTGCGTAAAATACGTCGGTACGCCGGAAAACCGTTTTGTAGCCGCCGCTTCCACGCAAAATGAAGAAATATTGGTTATTACGTTACGCCCTCACTTGCTGTAAGTCTCATTGATCTTACGAGTATGTAGATCTATTACTTTTCATGGTTAAAGGTCGCTTAAAAATCGCAAATTTTTCTAGCCGTTATGTTTGCATGGGTCTAAAAGTTGCGATAGGGATAGATGGTAGATAAGTATACAGGGTGGTCATTTTTAGCGCCTGACGATGGGATCTCTTGTGTTGAAAACTAATGGTGAAATTGGGGGATAACTCTTTTAGTTTCAATAATTAAAAAGAACTGAATTCTGCGTTTTAATAAAAAAAAAACGAGTATACCTACTTGAGAAATGAATTTGCTTTGAACGTAGGGGTTACATTGAATTTTTAGATTTTTTTAATAAAGAAATTTACTATGGATTTCTATATTACATATTAAATACAACATTTAATTATTCAATTGCCACGAGAGTGTCTTTTAGACAAAAATCGGTTTTGGATAGATTACTACTTTTAACTTATAATAATAATATATAATAAAATCTTGCCAAAAGAACGCTTTAATACATTTAAAACGACATTTTTATTTATTAAGTATTTTGATTATAAATGTAAACTACCAAAGCAAATCAGCAAATGAGTTTAATGAAAATTGAATAATAAGGTATTTTGGTAAAATCAAAGTAGTAAATTAAAAGCTATGGCACGTCAGAGAAAAATAACTCTGATGAAAGATCATAAGATGAAATTTGGCGACCCTAAAGCAAAAAAAAAGTTCTATGCCATTCTCGCCATATTTATTAAATTCCTCTGTTAAAGGCTTCTAAACGTGCCACTTCGACTCGGTTTTCGTGCAAATAGAAATAAAATAGAATCCCTATCCATGACAGCCGCGAAAAAAGAGCACTCTGTATAATGACAAATCATAAAATTATTATTACTTTGGTATTTATTATACAGGGTGACAATTTGAAAACTTACCACCCCCCATATCTTAGTAAATAAACGAGATATTTAAAAAAATCAAAATCCGTTTCTGTAATTCGGAGGGGGAATCACAATGACATAGTTGGCGACGCACCTCCTGCGCCCTAGCCACCCCAACTTTTAAATCTTAAATAGTGACTCCCCATGTGTGATACGTCTCATTGGAAAGCTCTGAAAAAATGCTTTCCAACCATTCCAAATAGCATTACATTTAGGTTAGTAATGGGGGTTTACAGTATAGTTGAATTCCGCAGTTCTAATTTAATAAGCGTGTACCTGAAACCATAAAACTTTTTTTTGGACAGTAAAAGTTTATTTAAAAATAGAGGCTGATTAGCAAAAAAATAATGAACATGTGCGGTTTTAAAGGTTTATTCAAAACGATATGATTGTGGCGGGCTCTGTGACGTAATAAGCCCGACCAATCAGCTCCTAGAACCATTCAGATGACATAACGACTTGGCAATATTGCAGGAGAATGGCATTTATAACTTGCGTCATCTGTCACACGCACTTGTCACTTTCGTGCTAGATGCAGTTAAACATCCCTCTCAAAACGTCAAATGTGACAAACGTCAGACCCTCGCGTAAGGTTGCCAGCTCACTTCTACGTGATTGGTTGTAGGTTTGTGACGTATTTAGTCTGAAGCGTTTCAAATTCGGACTAAAAACACAGCTTTTCAATAATTTATTTTGGGTTTATTTTACTCGCAAATAAAAATTGAGGACACACGGGTCTTTTTATTTTTAATGTACTTTGTGGATCAGAAATAAAAAATGAAGGCGGGATGACCCCATTATCGTGCAAATCAAAAAATAAACATGGAAAATCGTATTTAACTTGAACTTCCAAAGCCGACTCGACAGCAACTCATTTTTGATCGCCAGTTATAATCTATTCTCAAACTCTTGTCGAACCTTTCCTATGTTGGTTTTGCAATATTTCGATATTCTTGAAAATATTCTCTGTCTTAGTTCGTCTATGTTCGCCGGTTGCGTTTTAAATACGACAGATTTCAAATGTATCATATTACTTTATTTTTTGATTTGCACGATAATTACTAACCTATATGTAATGCTATTTGGTATTGTTGGAAAGCATTTTTTCAGAGCTTTCCAACGACATATCACACATGGGGGGTCACTATTTAAGATTTAAAAGTTGGGGTGGCTGGGGCGCAGGGGGTTGGAGGGGGTGCGTCGCCAACTATGTCATTGTGATTCCCCCTCCGAATTACCGAAACGGATTTTGATTTTTTTAAATATCTCGTTTATTTACTAAGATATGGGGGATGGTATGTTTTCAAATTGTCACCCTGTATAGTTTAATTAAAAATCATTTGCGTTCCTCTATGGCGGATAATTGGCTAACTGCCTTATTGGTTCTAAGTAATCAGAAAAAGATATAGCAGACAGTATACATTTTGAAAAACTAGTGTCACAATGGGCAGCGTTAAAATGCCGTCGTTTAATGTTGTAAGGTGTATTATTTTGAATTTTTATTGAAATCGGCATTTTTTATTGCATACACCCCCCTCACTCGGAGCCTCTGACTACGGCCCTGGTGTCCGGTCAAAATAGGCATTCCAAATAACAAAAACTCCGACGGAACTGAATTTTGGTAGAGACCTTGGGTACCCCAGTAGAAATAAAGTACCAAAACTTCCCATAGAGGTCCGATACAGCCCATGTGTGCTAAAGAAAAGTCAACATTTTTAGGATTTTTCTCGAAAACGGTAGGTTTTAGTTAATTCAGATAAAAATTGTATATCATAAAATGATCCACAAAAATGATCTGTTACGTTCACTTTGGGCCAACGTGACAAAAATTACCTTAGATAAGCACACGGTAAGCTCAGGCAAAGTAGAGGTGGGTCGGGGTGAACATGGGGTTCTTCTATACAAACACAAATAAGCCAAAAAGGGAAGGAAACAGTAAAAGTAATCCGGATAGGCGCCACTTAGTCTTTGATAAATCTAGAGAGAGAGGGAGGACTACTTACTAAAGGGATAAACAAGGCAGACTAAGAGATCCTTGTTCTCGTCTTACTAAACTCGAAGGAATGCACAATTATGGGGAAAGAAACAAACAATATTTGATGTCATAAATGCGGGTGGTTTAATACTTTAATACAATGATCTCAACATATCACAAATCTAACACTGTAATATATAGATCTGGTATGTCAAAATGGGAATTTAAAATAATCTCTAATAAAAAACAAATGAGAAGTCAACACGCAGCCGGGGAAAGTATTTATCCAAAAGGGCTTCCGCAGAAACAACGGAGCTATAATCATTAAGTGACTTTCTAACAAAGTAATAATCACAATTCGTTAGTATCAAAAACCAAAATGTAATCAAATGTTAAAAGGGAGAAACGACGAAAACAACTAAATTTACCTTTGAACTACGGTCGCAACCTTCTGAGCTCAGAGGGCGCGAAACTGCAAATCTGTAAACAGACACACAAACAAAAAAATATAAGAAGGGTAATGATTCGCGTTGCACAATATATCGCATAAGCATTGGTTAACGTAAGACACGAAGGGTTATTCTTATACGTAGAATTGCAATCAAAACTAAAAGAATCAAAAATTCAAATGACTTTACGACAAAACAAAATTTGGTTCGACTAAGTGTTGGTATTTACAATCGGTAGGAGATATCAAACAGTGACATGAAGTCTTAAGGGAAAAAAATACTATAAAATGTGCAAATAAATGAATCTCTCTTCAATGACAAAGCAATCTTATCAATTCAAATGAAAACAAACTTACACGAGCAAGTTCTTCAGAGCAAAATACATAACGTAAATTAAAATTGTAGAAATTTACTTCGGACAAAGTCTCGGCAATTTTAAGAACTAGATCACAAACAAAAGTAGTTAATATGAAACTCAGGGAGTACGAAAGTAGCCTCAAAAGGATTATTTAAAGTAAAAAGATAATGCGTCATAGATAACATACCGTAAACAGCCTTAAACTTGTAAGATAAATCCGCAGAAATGGGTCAGCGAAGTAAAATAATAAGAGAAAAACTCCACTAATCTTAATACAAACACCGCATATAATATCCCAAAAAGGTAAACAATAATGTCAAGTAAGTGTAATGGCGTGTAGCTCAAGTACAAGTCAAGATCGATTCGAGTTCTTCAACAAAGTCTGCACGCGCCAACAGCAAGTGGGAGAAAACGCGCAACAGAAATCTAGACGGGAAGGTTTTAAACGAAAGCTATATCACAAAAACGGATCGGGTTACAATGTGAACACCTAGATGGCGTAAGGATTCCTATATAAAGGTAAGAGTTCGCATAATGTTATTTGAGAAGGATTCCACATCGTAATTCAAATGTAAGCCCAAGCAAAGATTAAACGGTAAAGAAAATAACGTCACAGATTCTTTCAGAATCACCAGATTCTGCCCTTTGAATGAGTTACAATCTACACAATATCCACACCGCCGCGTTTTTTAACGTGGTTTCCCCGGTAGGCCTACTCCACGATCTGTTATGACTTTATGGGAAAATACTATATTTACGGCATGACGATTATTGAGTTTGAAATTGATATATAGGTGACTTAAACTGTAGTTTTGATTCCTGTTAATATTTTAATCTGATTCGAGAGTGCATTTCTCCTTGCGCCCTTGAGTTCTTCGTCGGAAGAATTGATAGACATTTAACATTGGAAATAATTTTGTATATGGGTATGAAGTTACCAGTTTCGTTTAAGCAGAAAAGACAGCGATGTCGCATCAAGTGATGATTGTACCGCACTCGACCGTAATCGGTAGATTAAAAAAAGTCCCGGACACTGTCGATGCGGTACTTACTTTATATTGGGCAATTGCTTTGTTAATTCCAATCTAAAATTCTCGCACATCCCTTTTAATAGCATTACGAGCATGTTATGAGGTTTAATATTCAGAAAGTGCACGTTTGCGACACGAGCGAGCTTGCGAGCGAGTGGAGCAGGTGATCCCGTGTGAATAAGGGCTTATGTGTTTTACATATGGCGTTATACGGTTATCATTTCCATGGATTGCGGAAACTGTGAATTTTTTTAATGTACCTACTTGACAAAAAAAAACATTTCAATTTTGATCAAGGTCATGCGGTAGAACAGACTGGATAAGGGACTGAGTATCTTTTGAGTGTATATTCTCTGAATTGTATATTTTGTAGGTACATATAAGAGACACAAGTATGCACTTTTACTTTTAAGTGCCTGACTGTGTTTATACTAGGCATTTGTTTGCATATTATGTGTAATCATTCAACTCTTAGAACGGCGATATCTTAGGAATGGTGATTCGTAGAGAAAAAGTATAAAAACTATTTTTGTAGATAATTTCATGGTCTACAATTTTTTTATAAGCTATCATTTTGATAACGCATACAGTTGTCGAGAAAATTCCAAAAAACCGAAAATGTTTGACCTTGAATAACTGTTGAGGACCTTTGGTACTGTATTTCTACTGGTGTACCCAAGGTCTCTACGAAAATTCACCTCTGTCGGAGTTTTTGTCATTTGATCAGTATTTTTACGTCTATTTTGTCCGAGCTATACCGTTTGTTCATTATTAATTCCGTTGCACCATGCGTTTGTTGTTTTGTTGTTTTCGAGACGAGATTAGTGAAGCCGCAGGTGCGGGTTCGTTCTTGGTTAGAATAATGTAGGTCGTTTTATTAAAATTGATAGAACTTTTAGATTGAATAAGATTTGCAGGTGTGTCTTGTGTTAAATCTGATTATTAAAATATAAATTTGTTTTTGGTAATACAACGTGAGATATGCGCACGAAGCTAAACTGCATGAAAATGCGCGTTTTACGAAATATGAGATCTAGGACAATACAAGGTCTAAAAGTTATGCTGGCGACTCTTTAGCAACGGATTACCATGCGGAATTAAAATCTTTAAGGAAGAAAGAAGAGAACTCTGGTTTAGCGCTGGACAGCATTCGAAACCTGAGCCATCTTGCGGAAGATAACGTGAAGTTAGTATGGGTAGTAAGAATGATATGATACCCCTCGACAGGGCTCCAAAATATGGGCATATCAACCCACTTTGCAACTAGTGCCAGGAGGAAGAAAACACTCCTAATATACTGTGTCACTGTGCCGCATATAATAGCTAAAGGAACATGTCCCTTAAGGGGAATGAAGATGCACTCGAAAACGCTACAAGATGCTGCGCCCAGGAGGACGATTTTGACATCCTAAGGGAGTGAGACTAAAACTAGGACGCGGTTGGAGACTACCTCGAAAAATAGTAATAATAATTGTTAGTCGCCAGTTTATGTACCTTAACTCTGGACACATTTTCCTCGATAGCTCATCCATTAATTTGGTCACGTGTACCTTTGGACGAAAGACGGCTTCAAACTTTTCCACTGACTGATTCTCGAAAATAGCATCCCTCAGGATAAGTGCTAGGTTAAATATTGACTCAACCGGGCCTAGCTGATTTCCTGTCTTTAACAGCTCTACACACCCATCCCTTGTGGCGGCGTCCTCTGTGGAAACCAAAACAGTTACACCGTACCCCTTCCAGCTCGCTATCTTTGCTGCTTGGTAGCCATTTCTTACACCAGATCTGGATACCAAAATTAACTTTCTCACTCCTCTGAGCACCAACCAGTCGGCCAACTCCAAACCAAACCCTCCCAACCCACCGACTATTATCGTGCAGTGATGGGCACTACCGTAGAACCTGGAGAAGCAGTCTTTAGAGACTCATAACCAAAAATCGGTGCTTACCGTGGGATTCCGTAAAGCAAAGGGGACTGCCCCTCCTCATTGATTTTTACAAGAACTTTTCCAATGTGCTTGCCGCTGCTCATGAACCGGAAAGCTTGTTCGATGTCTTCCACTTCGAACACCGTGCGAGGTAAGGGCTTTACAATGCCTTTATCTAGACCTTTCAGTAGCAAATCCAGGACAGGCTTTTGTCGCGATGGAGTTTCATCGAGAAACTTGTCCAGAATTACACTACGAACACTGCAACCCTTGGCGAGCACCTCGTACCTGAACTTATTGTTAGTTTGCATATCAAATTTGCCAATCTCTATAAATCTTCCTCCGCGAGCTAAACACCGGAGAGATGTTGTGAGTTTATCTTCCGACAAGGAGTTGAGCACCACGTCGACACCGCGTCCCTTCGTCGCCTTTAAGATCATGTATTCGAACGAGGTGTCGCGCGAGTTACCGATGTGGTTATCTGAAAGGCGGTTTTTGAAGGCAAATTCCCCATGAGGCGAAAGAGTTTACCTGGTATCTGGGGAAAGTTTTGTCGAATGTAGTCGCGTTTCTCTTGCGTGCCGACGGTTACGAAAATTTCGCATTCGTAATAGAGGGCCACGTTCAGGGCCGATAGTCCGACGCCCCCGGTTGCAGAATGAATCAAAATGCTTTGCCCGTTTTTTATGCGAGCTTCCTGTAAAATGGATACGCGATAACATTTTCGGAAACCTTAAGATGTTGAAATTATGGTGCATGATTATGATTTGGAAAAAACTTAAATTTACTTTCTTCTTTGAATCTGAAAGTATAAACTATTCGAACAATCTTGAAATCCTAAGATTTTGAATATTTTTTAAACATCAATTTTTGAAAATCATGGGGATTTAAAAATTAGACTTAAATTTTGAAGTATTGGAGTTTCGGTCTGAACTTCTGAGTGTTCAAGAACTTAAAGCTTAGGAATATTAAAATTTCAAAAACTTAAAATGTTGCAATTTTTGAACCCTAAAGGTACAAAGCTTTTAGAGTTTAAAATTTTGAGACACGAAGTTTAAAACAATTTTGAATGTTTTTAATTTTTTTGGATTTTTAAAACTTGATGACTGTCAGTACTTACATCTTCCAAACCCATAAGAACGGTGATGTAAGTTACATTTGCAGTAGCAGCCTCCTCTACGGACCAACCTTCTGGTACCGGCAACACCAGAGAGGCATTAGTTAACACCATGGTGGATAGTGCACCTGATCTTACCACACCCATCACAGTTTGACCGCTATACAAATCTTCAGTGGTATAGAAATTCAAAAGTGTAACTTACGTGACTAATTGTCCAGAAAATTCTACGCCTTGCAGAGTTTGCTGCTGCAGGCGACCCGTTACAGTGAAGTCAGCCTTGAGACGTCCAGACGCACTCATTATGTCCTTGAAATTAATGGCGGCATAATGAATCTACGATTTAATTTCACAAATCCCGTACATTGTTACAAACTACTTACTTTAACCAACCGTTCTTCTAGGGGAACTATGTCGTCGGTTTTTAGCGGCCCCTCGGCCCATTTCAAACTGGAAAGGTCCCCGGTGGTAAATGCCCGAGTGAACACATGCTCGCGTTGCACCAACTTAGAATTTTTAAGCAGTAGATGGCGGTAAGTGCCCCACTTTCCATCCTTATACACGTTCATTGTCAACTTCTTCTTCAGCTGATTGGCGTAGAACTGGTCATTCGGATCAAAGGCGGGTGCTTCGTCCATAATGTACGTGCAAAGTATTTTTGACGAGTAGGGTTCATCTCTGAGACAGTTTGCAAGCCCCATCACTCCGCTACTCGAATCGTCCTGAACAACCAACATGATATTGTTATCATCTTGAACCACGGCTTGGAGAATGGGCAACCACGCGGAGCTCTCCACGTTGCTTAAGTCGACAATGGACAGATCAGACCTCGGCGTCTGCTTTCGGAGCAAAACCAAGGTTTCGATTTCCGTCCCGTAGACGCTTATTATATCAACGTCTCGTGTATTCTCTGGGTTGTGGTGATAGTCGGCATCTTCTCGCGATAGTAAAAACCCACCTTCTTTCAGCACAGTCAATGATTCTTTGAGTACCTGCAACAGATTTGGTTACCGCACGCGTTAATGCAACTGAAATGGTACCAGAGGGCGTTGAAGAGCGTTTGATATTATCACCAACACGTGATCATTGGGTTGCTCAAAAAGATTCTGGTCTTTCACTTCGATGTTTTTGAATTCAAATTCTCGATTGGAGAGTATAACCAAATGGGGCCGTGTTAAAGGCTCGTCTTCTAACGCTTGCTGTAGTATTGGTGTGATTGGCACCAACCCTTGAGCATCGTCCATTACTTCGAGAGAATTGAACCAGTCTCTGGTCGTATTCTCCAAAATAATCTGAGCGTTCACTCTTAGAGCTTCTGTTAAATCTAAACGTCCCTCGTATGGTACAAGCCTATATTCTTCTAAAACTGGCTCACAGAGTAGTTTTCGTTTTGAAATTGCATTTATTGTTAGGCCTTTTACTTCGACGCCACCAGAACTTGAAAAATGCGTTCGGTTAGCAACGTTCCAGATCGGATGAACCTACCTAACAGTATCGGCGTCACCTGATACAGACACCGGTAGTTTACCATTGGCCACCAATTCCTGATGGATACCAGGATGAATCATTATCCGTTCGATGTGGATAGGGACGTAAAGACTTTCCGTGTCCTTTTCCAGTATTTTGACTTGCAACAAGTTATCCATGAAGGCCGTCCAGTTCTCGGCCCATTCGATCGTAGCTTTCCGACCATCCAAGTCGCACGATTCGATACCACGAAACAATCCACTAAGATGAGCGTGTACCGCTTCACTATTCCAAAAGAGTGCAAAACTTACCTGTAGTTGTAACCTCTCATCTTCAGTACTTTGTAAAAATCGTTTTTGGACAATTGTTGTTGGGGCGAGGAATTGATCGAAGTGGCAACGCCCAACGCATGCGAGTCTCTCGTTTTTACTGTGCGAATTTTTCCGCTGACGATGACTTGCCCTATTTCGGCCACCTGTTAATTTATAATTTAGTTATTTATTTGGCCTTTATTTTTCCTTGGAACCGAATTTGCCCGCTTTAATTCGATTTTAAATACTGGCGATTTCTATTTTTGGAAAGGAAATAAAGTATCGATACGAGTGTATTTTTTTAAGAAGCCGCCCCTGGCCGCCAAGAAAAAAATCAAAGATTGCGCTTTGTTTTGTCTACGTTTTTTTTTCTTTTCTGCCCTACATTCAAATGGGCCATAATTTACAATAAACGTCAAGTCTCAGGGATACGGTAAGATTCCATTGTGTTTTTTTGCGTAAATATGCTGTTTTCCAATTTACAGTATCGCTGTAGTTAAAAGTGACCCTTTGTTCCTATCGGTGGTTTTACCTGCCAACCCGCAATATAAATTACTGGCCGATTTATGTGTTTTTATTTATATTTAGGTACAGTATGTTCTCTTAGGGATGATATTCAATACGAGTGTGCAGAATTAAACGATATATTATAGCGATTCGTGGATGGTGCGATATTTGGAAACATCGACACTACATTGTTAATTTATAAATGAATTTCTTGCAGCACATTTACTGTCTTTTGCATGAATATGTTACTGTTTATATTTATATAATCTCGGGGTTGGTTTGTGTACGTCACAAGAGTGATTGTGACTTCTTGAAACATGCCGTTACAACATGGGTACGAGGATAAAATCGTACACACCGGATATATTTTGCGTCTTCATTACCGCACTCGCTACTTGGTTAACCTATCCCAGTAATTACCTCAAAAGCTCCAGTTGTCCTTTGAATTGACACACATAGATTTACCACGTCTTCTTTAGTTAAATGCGTCGCTCTGTGAAACCGCACATCTTCAAAAATTACATGCAAATCAAGCAAGTCTCGCTGCAGCATCGCCAGATAGTGTTCCCAGACCATATTCAAATACCCGGTCGCCGGCACCAAATTTCTGCCTAAACACCACGCATTAGGTAGAAAAGATTAAGGCACCATACCGTCAATGACGTGTCCATTCATAAATTCCCAATTTTTATCTTTAACTTGCAGTAAAACCCTCTGTTCGCCCATATGCGCGTTGCGATTTAGGCTACCGAACGCCACAAACCAATTGTCCTCGTAGTTCCATTGGATTAAAGGTGAAATCGATGGAGTATTCACACTTACGGGCCAGGAAACTTGTGGATACAATTCGGAAAGTTTCATGCAGTAGCCAGACTCGTAAAGTTTGCCCAGAGTGTTGAGGAAATGTTGGTCTGGCGCCATTCGTATCTGAGGACCAATCGAAATATCTCCAATAATGGACAGGTCTTCTTCTGCGTGCAAAACAAAAAATCGAAGCTTTGATTTGAGATCTCGGACGGGAGTAAACATGGAGGAAATTAAAAACTCTGGTGAGAAGTCCCAGTTTGATACGTTATGGGCCGAAATCCATTCGGAAGATCGCTTCTTGGGAAAGTGCACAAGTGACTTCAAACGTTTCTCCAAGTCTGTAGCTAAAAAACACGTAGAAATTTAACGTGACTTGTACGTTAACCCACCCAGCTGGTGTTTGAGGTAGGTGACCGTTACTTCCGTCCGCATGTCTGGTTTTCTTAAATATCCAACGAAGTCGGTGTTGTAGTCGAACCTTCTAAGACATTCGCTTAGGTGGTAAGCAACCACCACTGCCTCTTTGAAGCTCAACGAGTCAGTCATATACCCTGCGGCAACCTCGCCGGTGGAATACCCGACCACAATTTCCACACTCAACTTCAGGCGCTTCATAAACTCCGCTAAAATCAACTGGCACAGTACAGTGGCTAGTACCAAATCAGGCTGAGAATCTTGCCACTCGCTTTTCAAAAGCTTGCTCAGATCAAGTGTGGAAGAATTTACTACCGTTAAGATCCTGAAACGAGTATGAACAGTCGGGACGCATTTTGGTCACCTACCTCTTTAGGGTTCGAGCGTAGATTGGAAACTTCTGGAGTGAATGACAGTAATTGATCAGTACTGAATTAGGGCCACCAAATACCAAGGAAAGTGGAACCATTCGTCCGTCATTCCAACTCTTCGATCGTTCCGTAATTCCCAACTTCGTCACTATTGCAAATCCTCGATGTAAGTGAGCATCCATTGGTTTACTACAAGTCGGCTATCAACGTTGAAGCGAAACAACCCCGTAATACCTAAAAATTTCGTGCAACAATCGTAGAAACTCCGCGTCTAGTTTCCTGTGCTCTAAATCCGCGATAAAAGTGTCAATGGCCTCCTCAGTACGTCCACTGAAGCAGACTAGCCTTGGCAGGTCATCCTCTGGCATTCCACCATTTACCTTCACCTTCTTGTGACGCTTCAAGAGAATGTGAGCATTGGCTCCCCCAATTCCAAAGTTGCTAATTGCCACCAAACCAGACTGTTCCTTCGGCCACGGGATCACGTCGGTCACGACGGCCATTCGACCCTCTACGATCGCATCGATGTTGCTTTTGGAAAAGTGAATGTTTGGCAGAAGAATGTCCCCCTCCATGCTCAAAAGTACCTATTCCTCATCATCATGTTGTTTCAAACTTTTGGTTATCTCACCTTTACAATAGAACATAGTCCAGATGTTGTTTCTCCGTGACCAATGTTGGACTTACAAGATCCCACATAGAGCAGCTCCTGACGCCCGGTGCAAAATACGGAGTCCACGGCGTACAACTCCTCGGGGTCTCCTACCTTGGTGCCTGTAAAGAACATCGCGCACGTGTGGAAATTCAAACCTCATTTTGTGGGTTGAAAGCCAGATGTCGGTCAAATTTTGATTTGATAAATCTTGCAATCCTTTTACCTTCTTTACGTTCTCTAGAGTTCCTAAGGCTACCGATGTCTTTAAAGCCTCTAAAGCTACAAAGACTCCAAATACTGCTAACTATTTCTAGACTCATGGTCAACAACTTCTAAAGACTCCTAACGTTTGCTATGAATTCCTAACTGTAACAACCCCTAAAGGCTCCTGAATAAAAACCAAAAAGTTTCCGAGATCACCCAAAAGTAGCCCTATAGATTGTAAAGAAAAAGGTTCTTAACTCCCAAAGGGTCCTATACACATCTAACGGCTGTAAAGTGTCCAAAAACTAATGAATGCTGAAGACCGTTCTAAGACTTCCAAAACTTCTTACGAAGACTACAAAGACTTCTAGTAGTTCCTAACGGCGGCAATCCAAAAATGTCTTTGATGGGACGTTGCTTTATTTGAGAAACATTTTTGCGCTGGAAAAATGTTCCTGGTTCTAATCACACCTAAGACTATTAAGGTACGAGCTGCTCTTTTGCTAGACACAAAGGGAATTCACGGACATTATTTGGTTGTTACCCTTACCGGTAGCGTGCGCTTCTACGAAATCTACGGTTGACGGTTGAACGCCGCATTCTCGATATAAGTCATCCAAACACACTTTCTGACCCATTCCCGAAGGGTGCGTAATTCCGAGCTCTTTGTATCCGTCAGAGCCCGTTTTTACGTTAATGATCTGAAAGACAAGGTATAAATGGAGGTAAACCTTCTGGGCGCACCAACACTGGCGTAAATGCGCCTAGCCTCGTTTGTATTTTGTAGAAAGATTGCAGAAACTGCCTCGGTACGTGCGTAACCATCGGCGGCTTCGTCGAACGACTTGCAACGGCCATCACTGCTCAGTACTCCCAGCCTGCAAGGACCGCCGATGGAATGATTATCATTTGACATCTACGAACCTGGCGAACTGTAGTGCAACCTTTGGTTTCAAGGTCAAATGGCCAGCTGCGACAATTGCCGCGTCACAATTCCCCGCTCTCATCTCATTAAATGCCCGATCGATCGCGGTTAAGGAACTACTGCACGCACTATCGATGGAAGCGCACGGCCCTTCGAGATGCAAGACGTGACTTATCCAGCTGGGATGCATTGATCGGGTGCAACTAGAAGCCAACGTTTCAAAATTGACCATTACGAGCCGCCTACCCAGTCACTCCATAATTAGGCGACGTCAAGTTTGGGTAAAACAAAATCTCTTCCGTTTCCGTCTCGCATATGGCGACGAAAACGCCGGTCCGCGTTCCCTTCAGCTCTTCGGGACGATATCCGGCGTCCAAGATGGCCTCGATCGTCCTTTCGAGTAGTATCCGAGCAACGGGATCCATGGTGTCGACTTGCGCGCTGTGTATTCCTGCGAAGAGAACCGATCGGGTAAGCTACCAATCGCCGATCAAATTACCGAAGAAACCCGAATCGAATTTTTCGATAAAGTTAATCTTTCCCGATCGACTGGGTATTTCCGGATGGTTGACGGGCCATCGTCTTCCATCGGCGGTCATTATATCCACCTTGTTCGCCAAATTGTCTCTGTATTGGTAGATGTTGTCGGATTCGGGGAAGCGTCCAGCCATACCTGTTACAGGTTAGTAGGACGGAAAAGCTCGATCAATCATGTTACCTGATATGACTATGTCTCCTGCAGGGTGTTGGTCGCGCAACTCTTTGTTATCGTTAGCATTTAGTCTTCGGTTGGTTTGAGAAGCCATACTTGTGCAAAAAATAAGCCGTTACGAAAGACAGTTTAATGGCAAGTAAACGTAAAAAGCTGACCTATATCTTGTTAAATCTATTCCAGGTAAATGCTAAACTGTGACCTAAGGTCTTTACTTCCTCAAAATAACAATGGCCCCACATTTGCATAAAATTTAAATGCAGAAAGACACTTCTCGGTCGTGAACAACAAAATTTATAAGCGACGTAAACAAATTACGTTTACGGCAGCTAGAGCCCAACGAATTGCTCCTGAGGAATTCGTGAAACATAGGTACTCAATTCAAGAAATTCGCTTCTATGCCAATATTCGCCATGGTAAATTCACCTCCAAGGAAAGTGCGCTACCGGAAATTTCGCCCCAACAAAAATGCCTACATAATACACGCTAACTAGAATTTTGCTTTAAAGGGAATTTACGTCCATGTAAATACGCTTTAGGAGTTTTTCTCAAAATCAATCCACTTACAAGCGCAGGTAGAGTAGAGGTACGATGTGGTAAAACATACGCCTACTCTGCCTAGATTTGTGGCGAACTCGCTTTCGGCTCGCTCGGCACTCGCTTTAAAGCTCGGCATTAAACTAAGCGTTTCCACGCAAAAATTACAGTTTTGTAAGCAGTGCAGAGCGAGCCGAAGGTCAGTTCGTCACAAACCTAGGCAGAGTAAAGATATGGTGGGATAAGTCTCTACTCTGCCTAGGTTTGTCTCCCTCCATCCCATAATTTTTTGACATGTTTAACTGTTCTACATTGCACCCTAACATTTTACAAGATTGTGGGGTTCTCGAACTTTCATGATTCGCGATACTTGAGAGTCCTGTGATTCATATTACTGTGATGATACGCATGATTTGATATGTGTAACTTTCTTTTGTTTTTATGTATGTTCTTTTGTTTATATAAATAAATGTAGTCTTCGTGTGCTGGAAGTATTCGATACTCCCCACAGCTATGTTTGATGGCATTTTACCAAACACTGTCATGTTCGAGGTCATCATTTGTGATGCTTTGAACTTATAATTTGACACCGCAAAAAATGGGGACATTAGCCCCTTGAAAATGTAATTTAACGCTGCCAAGAAATGGGTTCATTGACCATGAATAACCTTGATAATGTAATTAGACACCACATAACAATGAGGTCATTGGCCTTGTATTACTCCAAACAAGTAATCTGACGACGCAAAAAAGGATTCATTGACCTTGATTGGCTTTGAGAAAGTAATTACATACATAAAAATAAGGTCATTGGCCTTGGAACACCGCAAAGAAGGTATATTTACCTTGGAAGACCCCGAGGGCCATGACAAAAGATGAGGTTGAACTTGAAAATTGAATTTGGTAGCACAAAAAAGGATTGATTGTCCTTGGATGATCTCGAACATGTCATTCGACACCATCAAAAAATGACCTTGCATGTCCTTGACAATGTAATTTGACTGCTCACAAATGGGGTCATTGGCCTTGGAACACATTGAACGTGTAATTTAACATCACCATTAGATCATTGAACCTAAATGACGTTGAAAATGTAATTTAGAATCACAATTACAAGGTCACCGTGACCTACTTTCCAAGGCCACCGCTAGATGGCGAGCGATCTTCAACGGTCCAGGTTCGGTATAGTACATCTACTTGATATAAGTCACATACTCATATAAATACCTAAAGTCTTTGTGCGCTGGGGGGGGGGGGGTATGCTCTTTAAAACTCTAAAATAACTCCCTGTTTGAGACTGTTTAAAGGAATTTTCTACTGTAATCAATATTCGTGTATGAACTGTAGTACGTTTTGTATTTCAATTTAATATTAAGTACCGGAAAATTTCTAACTGAGTTAATTATATTAAGTTTTCAAGTTATGTGTCTTTCTATTGTTCATGCAACGGGGCACATCGGTATAAAATTTTGGAAATTAGATGTTTTAATGAAGCTAGTACTAAATTCTGGAGGGCTGTAGCGAAAAATCGAAATTGATCGATTTATCTGAATTTTAAAATTGATTATCTCTTAATAAATTAAGTGTTCATATTCAACAAAAGAAAATTAAGAAACATTCCCAGCTTTCTGATATAAAATAGTAATTCTCAAACACCGAAAGAGAATGGTTTAGTTGTAGTTAATCCAGTAAACAAATAAACGAACGCCAATTGGATATACAGCACAATGTTGTATTATTTATAAAATCTAGAATTTGCTATATGTTAATGTTGTGGAGGGGTATGTTACATCCTTAAATGGAATCGCGCATAGCTTGCGTAGATTTAGTTTTAGGTTTTACCTTGTAGATACATATGCTATGTACTGTGATGGAACCGAATTTGCCCGCTAAAATTCGATTTAAATATTCCCGAAACCGACCCTGGCGCGACGAAACAAGTCAAGATTGCGCTTTGTTTCGTTTCCGTGGTACACGTGTTTTTTATCTTCTCTGCTCTACATTGAAATGGGCCATAATTTACAATAAAAGTGTCAAATAGAACGCTATGCGAGGGAACTTAATGATCCCTATCGACCCGACGTCTCTGAGCACGGTCGATATTAAAAATTTTCGTCTGGGATTTGTTTAAAAAGGGGAGATTGCGGCAGAGGTATTTGTGCTTTTGTTGAGAGCAGAAGTAAATTTTTAAGTTTCGAGTAGTGAGTGCGGCTTCGACAATTACAAAGGTGATGTACTCGTTTTTTTATCTCTACGTCTATTGCATACATCTAATAAATAATAATGATATGATCGTGTTCGATTATTTGCCAATTTAATGTTATTCTCGTACAGCATGATTATTGCCATTTATAACACATTCTAGATACAACTTACACTTTTAATTATACTGGCCATACTTTGAATTAAATGCATAGAGATTCTACATAAATATGTTGTTGTCCAATTTACAGTACTCCTTTGTTCCAAACGCTGGCAACATGAATTACTGACCGATTTACGTGTTTTATTTTTATTTTATTTTATTATTTTATTATCCCTCTCTTGTTTTGGGCCCTCAACAGGCATGCGCCCAATTACAGAGTGACCCGCATAATGCTATTTAGAGGTGCCTCTGCAGAAGGTCTATACCTACTAGTCCGGTATTTACCTTACCAATTAGGAAAACTGCAGGAAAACCTAATTCGGAGTAGCCGGTAGAATGCTCGGAACTGGTCTAAGGTAATTTCCATCTCCGCCACAGATGAAAAATTCACCTCAACCCAGGTTCGAACACCCGACCTCCGGATTTATAACCCAATGCTCTTACCACTGAGCCATAAATCCGTGTTATATTTAGATAGGGGTGATATTCAATACAAGTATGCAGAACTACATTTTAATTAATAATTCAATTTATTGCAGCACATTTCGCGTTTGTTTGCATGAAGATGTTACTGTTTATTTACTGGGTATTTCATCTGGGGGCGAGTGACGTCCGTTAGGTGGTTGATTGTTACATATTGCACTTGGAATTTAGAATTAATTACTTTATGCTAATGTTTGCCACTACATGTTCCTTTGTTTTCTTGTAATGTGATACGTAACGTTATGCTCCTACTATTTATTCGAACCGAGTGACTATGATTATTAATATTTGGCAGGGTGACTTGTTTCAAATATGTAGTGTGCTACATTTGATATTGATATTTGATACCGATATTTAATATCTCGATTTGAGGCTGGCTAAAGTTCAGAACTGACATACGCAGAGATATATATTTTATGTACCGTTTTTTTGGTGTCTTCAAAAAGAGCCATCTTGCCGATATTACTAATCAATCCGATTAGTCGATTCCTGACATGTAGTAACCGAATATTGGTTTTGTGTCAGTCTTTGTTATGACAGTGCAAATATGTCAGCGCCTACATAAATTCTGTATATTTTGTTTATGATTATGTATGCGTGCGAGTTTGCCGTTGGTTGCTCTGTGATTTTTGTTATGTCATGATTTGTCTTTTGATCGGTTCGGTTACTGGCAGTACTCATGGTAGAGCGAGCCTGGAGTTCGGTAATTTATAACCCGGCACTTTATAACTAGTGGGTTGGACTGGCCCTAGAGATGTGTGAATGAAAGAGTTGGGGTCCCGCTTAGTTGTACATGAGGGCGCTGGCTAGGCCCGGCCTCACTTGCGCAGGGATTCGCTAAAAGCGTGCGGCGTGTTCTCGTTGCGACCTTTTGTTTGTGTTATCAATTATCCTTCCTACGTGAAAGGCTCTTCTGAGAGGCCAACTCCTAGCGATTTCATACAATGTTGACATGTCATGACCAGAGCAACTAAAGACTACTCGGTGTGGGATTTGGACTGGCCATCCAATATCCAAACCTATTATATGAATTTATTGTAATATTTTAATGAGCCTGTGATTCAACATTATCTTAATTTACTTGACAACCATCATAATATGTATGTATTCATGCCATTACAGACAACTTATTTTGCTATAAAGTTCAATATTAATTTGTTGCCTGGTTTTTTCTTGGTCAGTTCTTCTTTCCCAGCCTATTGTTATATTTGTACTCGGTGAACTACCATTTTCTAAATTTAATCATGCAATGCGAAGTATTTGGATTAAATCTCCGTTTTTAAAGCAAGGATTTGTTTTATTTGTATTCCTTACTTGATCCTCACTCCGACAACCCAACACATATCTTGTAGCGACTCTTAAAAACACCACCTAGTAAATGGTCCTGTTATTCGGTTATTCAGGTTAGGTAGCTTTGTCTAGACGATCACGTGCCATGGGGTTCAGTTAGTTTGGGAGGGAAAGTTTTGAATTTTAAATCTTGAGTTGCGCAGTCTCTCGGGACTCGCCTGGGTACATGACAGTACTAATGTGATTGGTGTCATTTCCGGTAAAACGTAGAATGTACCTTAACTTTGTTTCAGATATAATAACAGATTGAGCATTAATAGTATTTTACATTATTAGCCAGGTAAGTGAGTTTTTACTGGCGATAGGAGAAGTTGACTGGCGAGCCGTCAGCCGAGCCTGTCATCTCCTAGAGCCAGTAAAAACTATTACTTGGCGTATAATGTACAATATTTTATTTGTTACTCATTTAAAAACAATAATAAACGTAAATAATTAGTTCTTAAATTGATCTTGAAGAAATGACTAAAATATCATGTTATCCATTAATTCTGGCCAATGAAATTACTAGATTACTAAC